CAGCCATTTGGCCTAGATGTCATAGAGCAGCTTTAAGCATCAGATAAGTTATCAAACAAGAGGACCTTTCCAACTCAGAGATTTTCTCTCTCCTGTTAAGGACGGGAGATAAGGCTTCTTAAAAAAAATTACTGACTGTGTTAACTAAAAAAATAAAAGTCCAAAGAATATTTTTGGCTCTCAGTAATTTGATGATTTTATTTTGTCTTGTTAATTTCCACATCTTATAAATATAGTCCATCTAATCTAGAGTTCCGTTGTCAGGAAAACTCGGGAGATATGCAAAAATATGGCCGCACTTCATGACATCAATCTTATAATTTTAGGATATCCAAACTAATTGTAGTAGCTAGTTTTTACTTTGCCCAATCTTTGTGCAGTCCTTTAATTACCTTTAACTGGACCTTCTCCAGTTTTGTTTCTTTCTAGATTTGTACCAGTTTGAACCCAATTTGTGATAGTCCATGCCAAATACAGCATTCCTATCTGTATTACATATCTATATACCTCTTACAACCATTTACCCTTTACAAAGAATTAATTTCTGTAAATGTGCCCTAAATGAGTCTCTAATTTAGATGCCCTCTCATCGTCCTCATTCTAGCATTCTACTTTTTACAAGTAAAACTAGAATTATCTCACCATAATTGCTCGTTCTCTCTGTTCTTAAACTGTCTAGTCCAAAAGTATTTGAAGAGCTGTAAATGAGAAAAAAAATGTACTTTTCAGTATTGGTCCAGAGACCAGAATTAAGATCAGCTATTAATTAAGATAGATATTACAAGGGAACAGCTTTTGTTTTAATATAGGCAAGAATATTTTAATAGAATTTCTAGGACTCATATAGGTTCTTCCATAGAATAATTCAAACATCTCATTATTAGAAGATTTGATGACTGTTTTCACTCATTTTTTCAGCAGATATTTATTGATTGTTCCAGGCACATTTTTTAACATATGGTCCCTGCCTTTATGAAACTTACAGTCTATTGGAGGTTTGACAGACTTTAAGTAATCACGTAAAGAAATATATAGTTATAACATTCTATAATTGAAACATTCTATAAAGTATAAGGGACTATGGCAAGAGTGCCAAGGAGATGGGAGAAGTCTGTTTTGAGGAAATGACATATGAGTTGTAATCATAAAGAATTGGTATGTTAGCCAAGGAGAAGGGAGAAAGAATGTTCCTGGAATATGCAATATAACGTATTTCCTACCTTTGCCACTTACCTGGCTTTAGAGTAAAAGGATGAGAATAACTACTTCATAGAGTTTCTTATGAGGATTAAACATTATCATGCACATAAAGCACTTAGCACAGTGCCAGTCACATTATTAAATCTAGATAAATATTAGCTGCGGTGGTGATTGTTATATGTGATAATCCTAAGTGGGAAAACATTTAGCTGTTTTAATAAACAGAAAGAAAACCAGTGTGGATAGACCTTGGTGAACAAGGGAAATGCCATGTAAGATTACACTAGTGAAGGAGGCAGGATCCAATCATTCAAGGCCATGTTTGCTACTTTGGACTTGATCCTAAGGTCAATGGAAAATCACTGATGGTATTCTAAGTAAGCCAATATCATTATTTAATTTGTATTTTAAGATCTGATTGCAATGGATTATGAAATCAGAACATGGTCTTCAGGTGCAGAAGTAGAGGGGTAACCAGTTAGGATGCTATTGCAGTAGTCTAAATAAAAGAGAAAGATGACTTGGACCAGGGTCAAGTAGATTCAGTGGAGATAAAAAAAAAAGTGGATGTATTTAAGATATTTGAGGTGATAGATAAGATATATGTTGCAAAAAAAAAAAGGATTCTAGCCAGCCCCAGCATACAATAGACTTTAATAACTAAACTATTTATGATTTATCAGGAATATTCTAGAAGCGTAAGGAACTGGTATATATGATATCTGAGGATAATTCCAATTCTAAGAATTGTAATGTTTCTAGTCTTCCTATCACCTGCCAGTTTGCCTTCTTTTCTCTGGCCCTTTTCTAGTTTCATTAGTCTTTTTGAAGTTGGAGCAAACAGAACTAGACTAAGTATTTTAGAGGCAATGACTTCACAACTTTCTCCATGAATGGGATAATGACTTCTATTATGTTTTCTTTATTGCTGATGATTTTCAAAACCATGCAGACCTTTTTCTATAACGGGAAACTGGGAATGTCTTCAGATAATAATC